GGGTCGGCTGTGGAGAGAGCGCTGGTTGAACGGGAGTGACGTCGGGAGGCTGCGAGGGAAACGAAAGGTGGGCAACATCCGGACCAAAGGGTTAGTGGTGCAAACACACAGACAGAAGCCATTTTTACTCTGCTGGGCTGAGCTTCATGCAACACTGGCTTCAGCACCTCCTCCTGGGCTCAATGGGCTCCCAGGCAGTCCTGAAAACTGCAGTTCCTCTCAAGTCCACTTGAAGCCAAAAGTGAATTAATTGCTATCATATTAAAACGTCCAACTTTAAAAAAAGAAAAAACAAAACAAAACAAAACAATGTTACAATTATTACATGGAGACCAAACCAGTTCTTTGTTTATCTGTAAACATGTTGATTTCTGCTGTAAAGTTGGACATTTTAATGTTGGTGTCTAAGTCTATATGGGAGTATATGTGGACACGCGTGCTGCTGGAGCCTCTAGTGAACATTAGATGAACTGCTTTTTGTTTGATTGACTGATTTTTCACCCTGAGGCTGCATCTTGGCAGAGCTTAATGGATTGGGAGTGTGTCAAAAAATATTTGGCTAGTAAAGAACGCAACTCTTGTTCTTACATTAGTGATTTTGTCCATTCTGAGTTTAATGTCATAAAAATGTCCAAAACGAACGACACGTTTTATTCAGTAATGCCTGAAACTAGTGACTGAGACTGAAACTCATCAGGGAAGTGTTTATTTTCTCATAGACAACAATATGCAATCAGACTTGCAGGTTTAAGCCACTCTGGCATCATAACGTTACCCTTTCCAGCCAAACTGAAACATAAATCTGCCTTTTTGCATTATCTAACCATTCTGCATATTACACTTTTAAGTGTTATGATTTGAGATAAAACTGAAGAAAACCTGCTTTAGCTCCATTTCTTGCTCTTAACCTGTGCAAACACTGTCATATCGTTCAGATCAGTTCAGCAGAGTAAAAACAGGTCACGTGTACAGGATAACAGGAGGTGTTGCCCGTCATAATAACAAAGAACTTTAACATTAAACGTCGGTGAAAACATGTAGCCTTTTTCCCAGCACACATTTTGATTTTTCAAAGTAAGAAAAACACTGATGTTTCTAATAATTGGAAAAAATGGAATCAACCGATATCCATTCACTTATTTTTTTTCTACCGTGATAAGTCAAAATATTAGCTGTGAAAAGGCACCAAAATGAATAACTGAACTGTGTCTGCTGGCAGAGCAACATAAAACAAAAAAT